AGTAACAGAGTTCTATAAAAGTTTAAAATTGTCTCGTATATTGTAATGTATAGCATTGTACATCAACAATGACGTTTGTGCCGCGCCTCCCTCTGACCTATCTGAGATTTATTCTCGTCCCAACTTACTATCTCTTTATCTCTATAACTATGAATCGGAGACAAGCTAATCGTTTTTATTGCCTCGACTACCTATTGCGAGTTAAAAACTGATTGAGTATGTAAACAATTGTATTTCGTATTACGTTTTTGCATCGTAATTACGATACGCGTAAGTATTTGTTTATTATCAATACTGGGTCTCCATTGCCATTGTACTTGTACAATATTGTTATCTCCTTCATGCGTGTGAAAAAGACAGAGTAAACAATAGTGTTCCTGTACGTGTGTTCCGGTTACAATACAGCCAAACTCAGTGTCCTCCGCTCTTTAATCACGCCATCAATCATAAACTAAAAAAGTAAAATTCTCTATTGCAAAAAAGAAAAAGTTGAATAATAATATCAGATGCCGTATAAAATAGCTCCATTCCTCTGTATTTACTTTCATTACCTACTGTTCAGTTGGTCTATTGTTTTGTTTGGTGCGGTTGAACGCTGCGGAGGGCGTCCTTTGTAAACATCGCACAGTTACCTGTTGCGGTATTACCAGACATGTTCCCGCTCAATCGATACGTTGTAAGGGAGACGCGACTGAACATATATTGTATTCAAATGACTGAACATAGACGCGTCCAGTTTGTATTAGGGAGATGCCACACGGAAACGCGTTCTCTGTGTACCTATATTGTTATTAATAAGGTAGATGGTACATAGACAATACGTCTTCTAATTTCATGTCCTACACAACATATATTACCTTCAATCTAAACTTTATAAAACGCTGAATAAGTTTATAAAGCAAACAGTTATATAAACAGAGGAAAAGTGTCTTATTGACGTGTCTAAGAGAAATCTATTAACAGCGAAATTAAGTTTAATATAAAAATATAGACGAGAATATTCTTCCGCCCGTTAGGTTCGTGCCACATTTATACCTTTCTAGGAAAGTGACGCAAAGGATTTACCCCTACAGCCGGACGCTTCCCGGGATCAGGCTTTCATCCTTTTGTTCGTGTCTCGACGTTCCGGTAATTTCTCTCGAAACGCGATTCGACGTTGCATGTTTTTTATTCGCTTGAAATCCTTTAGCAAATCGGAATCTTAATGAGACCTGTGTATCAAAAAACTTTTGTAAAAGATTGAATTTATTAATAAATACTTACGTGCAATTAATAGACTTGTCTTTCATACGGATGTTATTATGAAAATAATTAAGAACACGTGTTTGCAAATGCTACTCTGGGTTCTGTCGACTTTGACACTTGTCTCCGTTTCTTTAAAGTAAATGTTAGAAACAGAGAGTTCAGACTTTGTCGATGCGGTACCGTAAACACGATTATCTGAAGAAATTATCATACAATTTTCCAAGTACAAGCAATTGCCAAAATTCGTCATTGTATATCTGCTAAGCTGTTCCAAGGACTTTCTTTCGCTATTACGTAGCCTGTCGGGGAATATCAATAAATTGGGGACATAATAAGGAAAACATGGCGCGCTACGAAACCGTCGGGTAATATTATAAGGGCACGGGGTGAAGGACGCCTCGAGTTTGGTGGAAAACTCTAGATCGATACGTTGGAAATCTTCTTCAAAGAATTGTAGACTCTAGTGTAAGGAATTATGTTTCATTTTGCGATGTTTGTGTAAATGTATCCTGACCTACCGACGCTGCTGAACTACCAAGTTGGATCATTGATTACGTACAATATTGCCCATGAAATACACAGAAATATTTAAGTCATCGGATACCCAGGAGGCAGAATGAATAGCTCTTTCAGTATTAGTACTTTTTAGGTTATATAGAAAATAATACTACATAGAGGTACTGTATGCAAGTTTAACGCAGGGGATTATCCTACAGGTTAATTAAACGAAACTTAAACCCCTAAATAATTAATTAACTAACTTTTGTTTATCTTTTAACAGTTCGTAGAAACACTTCTTATTGCATACTTCAAAAGGTAATTATGACCTTTTTTATAACAGAAGGGCTACATTTATACTGAATGAAAGTAAAAATACCTAAGATTCTATAAATAGGTATCATAAGTAGAAAGGTGTGTAATGTCTTAATTATCTGTCCCGACTCTGGACCTATTTAGTTAGATTTTTCTAGACGTAGTTCTATTTACGTATTTGATTCACAATAACGTAACAAAGCACAACTGTTACGTTGTCACATGCACTGTACTGCACGCTCAGATAGTTGAGCGAAATTGCTTTTGTGCAATTTCGTACGTTTCATAATCCACACTAGCGCCATTATGTTTTTATGCGGTCATTGGCAAAAATTGAGTCCAATGTTTTCCTGCGTCCACATACCGTATAGTAATGCAAGGTATTTCAAACTTTATTTTGTTAGGCGTAAAGTTGAATTTGCTTCGTTGTGCAGTTAAATAAACAAAGCGTTAGCGCCGTCCAGCGCGCTCGGTCGTAAACAAGGCGCTCGAGTTATTGATTCGCCGGCCGCCGCTGCCGGTGCATGCGTGGATGACTATGCACTTTTTATTAATATTTTTTTTATCTGTTTTTAATCGTGTCTATTTACGCACATGGTGCTTTTTATTTTGTGCCAGTGTTTACATTTAAAAAAGCGGAATGTTTTTGCTTTCCAGGTAGCTAGACAAAGGTATTAAAATGTCAGATTTTTTTTGACTAGCGTGACTTCGCGTATTATGTTTAAGTAAAGTATAAACGAGTACCTACTCGTACAGGGTTTTGCCAAAAGTGATGGCCTGGTTTTATTGACAGCGTATTTTCACAGTCAAATACGTGAATTCTCTACTGCGTATGTGTGCATTGTGCGTGTTGCGTGTGTTACACGAGCAATAACATTGTTTACTCATAAACATTTCATATCCGCGTGGCGCTTAAACACACGGAAAACCCATTGCCGTATTTTTAATATAAAACCAACACACTTGTATATATATATATATATATAGCACCTCTGAAGTTGTGTAGGCGAAAAACAGATTTAATTTTACATCTCTATAAATCCTCTCATATTTGAACGTTACTGTATAACTTGAACATTTACAATTAGATGAAAATGTTAGGAAACAATGATAGTGAGCGTTATTTTTAAAAAATGGCGTGGGTGCCATCAAGAATTGGTTCAATAGATATTTTCTAAGCCACGCACTTTTGGTACCCACGTACCATCCTTCGATCACATAGCTACATACTATTAAGTGGGTCTGTGGTCAAGCACTGGTTTATTCAATAAAAAAAATGAATTATGGAATTTTATTTTCGTAGACGAGTAATCGATTTAACTTATCTTTTATCTTTTATTGTGGCAAATAAATTAATCGCCGTGCAAATTATTTATTCAACGGTGAACATTGTTAATACCCTTTCGAATAACAAGGTTATAAAGTGGGGTAAACCATACCTCGCTCATTACGACTTAATGTACTAAGGGTACGCAGAGACCTGTGCTTTTAAACTTTAATAAGTTCAGCCCCAAGTCCACACGCGATAACGGTCTTTTGATAATAAACTCTAATACCTTTACACATGACGGAAAATAACATTTTTAAATGTGTCTTGTTATTGTTAATTCGAGTACCGTTATAAAAACATCTTGTTTATACGTGGCATTTTAGTCTGTTTTTTTTAATGCAAGAGTCACGCAGTGTTGTGAGTTTTATGTATAGGTTAATTTAATCGTAAAACACATTGCTACCTCGACGTAAGAAATGTAGAATCGATACCTTAACCTCTCACTTTTCTTGTTCTTTTTTATCTAGATCCTGGTCACCCACTTTCTCGTTTTGTCAAACTGTTTATACATAATGCGAATATAAGTAACATGACGTCATCCAATATTACAATCAGCAACAAAAACGCCAACGTCCGCGCAAATACCGGGAATTGTGGAAATGTGTCCGCCGACTCGCAACCCTGCGATTACCAGATCGATAGATACCGGATTCAATAGAAATGATTCGGACTCCATTAGTGCACCTTCCATTTTTCGTATGAATAAATTATTTGAATGCATATCTTACTAATATTATAAATGCGAATGTTTTGATGGATGGAAGGATGTTTGCTTGAAGGTATCTTCAGAACGGCTTAACGTATCTGGATGAAATTTGGCATGAATATAGAATATTGTCTGGAAGAACACAAAACCTACTAAATATTATTTTTTAATTGCACGCACGGTGTCACGGGCGTCAGCTAGTTGTCTATAAACTAACGTCAGATCCACGGACCGTTGAGGCTCGATTCTTATAATAAAAACAAACGAAACCTTTTTAATACTATGACTGTCACCGTGAGATTGACCTAATAATTATGAACGTTAAATGAGATTTCTCTGATTTGGGTAGGAAATTAACGTCCTCGACTGTGTACTGAATCAGTTTGATTGGCTGCAGCTTGATTGTTATTTGACCTGTAGCGTTCAAAATGTTAACGAGTGATCGATTGGCGGTTGGCATCATTTACTAGTTCATCATTGAATGGTCTCGACACATAACTGTGCCAATTTAATATGAAAATGGAATCACTGATTTCAATGGATAGGCGATTACTTGAAAATGACAGCCTTTTTCCTTCGTTCCGATTTAAACGCGCTGTTGATGTTACTTGACCGTTAATTCTACCTATATTATTAGTTCGAATCAATATCACCGCTACCATCAGCGCCAAAATGGCGAGAATCATATAAGCACAAAATACTACGTCTTATAGCCAGTCCATTTATATTGATCAATGATTGAAATTGTGAAAGAGAATATTAGTGTATAAAAAGTAAAGATAAGTACATACTGTTCGACGTATTCCTTGGGGAAAAAGGACAGGTTGTACCTAAAACCTTTACATTTTGCGTTCTTCGTATGATTGTATTAATTGTAATATATAGAAATGTTATGTATCATTTCAGATGCACGCTTCGTTTCCCCTCTACGAACATTCGGCTGGAGTTCCAGTCACTAGTGGAGGAGAGCGGCGGCGGCGCGGGAGGCTCCAGTGCTCCGCTGCCGCCGTTGCGCATCACCATACCAGTGGATAACGACGCCCGCAGCCCAGCACCTTCGCCCACAGGTAACTTCCTATTAACTTTGATGAAGCTTTGAAAGCGAAGATTAAACATGTTTATATGTATGCAGATTTTTTTCGGAAATCCTCCCATTATTTGAAAGCAGAAATCAAGGTTCCGCGCAGAATTAAAAAAAAATTATAGCCTTCGTGTTCTTCCAGAGTATTTATACATGTATGCCAAATTTCAACGAGATCCATGCAGCCATTCCTACATACGCATTTATAAAGTAAGATAAACTGATGATGTTGTTGTCCTTTATTCCTACGTTCATTGACACATTTCTTATCCGTGTTATGAAGTTAAATGTAATTTATAGTGGCATTATTATATCAATATTGCATAACGCTTGCGCAGCTTTAGCAATGTTAAGTATAGCCGATTCTAAAAGTACCTACTTTATTTAATTGAGACGATATGTCAATATTGTGAGGCAATAGTGTGTCGAGTGACCCAGTTTGTGCAGTAAATCAATGGCTAGCGTGCATTCGCCTACTGTCGCGACGTTTCTTAGTAATACTTTCACACGAAGACAGCTGAATAAGACAGACCAGTAGGCAATACAGTACTGTTATTATTTAAACGCATTTATACTGTTAAAACAGATGTATGCATATAAACAACACCAGTACTGCAATGACTACTCCATTGTATTACCCTCGTGTGATAGCAACTAGTCATTGCGCACGACACGACACTTTTTGCGCATTGCACGATCACATGAAGGCTTTTTTTACCATCCTGTTTAGGTATTGGGTGAAGGCAAATCCATCAGTCATTGTATGTGCACTTTATTACTTCTACAGACATTTTGTTTATCTATAGAACATAATTAAAGGATATTGGATAGAAATCCCACCACCTTGTTAAACTTTTTCAGATGCTCTTTTTTGAATAATTACAATGTTCTAAGATAGCTAGCGACAGTTATAGAGCAATGCTTTCCTAAATGTTTATCTTATTACTTTATTTGATATCCAAAATAAGTTATAAAGATTGTTTTCGTGAGAAATATGTTAGTCGATCGGTAGCAAATATGTAAATCGTGTCGTCTATTTTAAACAGCGGCCTTGATCTTCTTGCTTGCTATATTTATGAGATAAATAATGAAATAGACTAACGATATAGATTTTATTCGTGACACAAATTTCACTTTACAGTGACTTGTCTACTACATTAAAATTGAATAATATTTTGTTACTTATGTTTTATGTGCAAATTGTCTTATAAAAGTGATACTAATGAATGAGTAGATCAGAAGACTTGCATATATGAATGATTGTTGATGACTCCTTCACGAAATAATAAACAAACGAGTTTCACAGCAAGCAGTTACTGCTTACACTAAAGGAATTATAACTGGTGTTAAATATGTACATGTTGTGTTGCAGGCACGATCAGCGCGGCCAACAGCTGTCCGACGTCGCCGCGTGGCGCTGGCAGCTCGGGCCGCCGGCACGCAGACCTCGGTCTTGTGGCACAATATGCCGCACTCGCTGACCACCAGCGGCCCACCTCTAATGGCAACGCGGTTAGTATATGATATTTGCATGATTAAATCCTATTGAAGAACTTAGGAAGAGTAGGTACATAACTTTACGTACACAGTTCATCGATCCTTTGTTTTAGATAACATCACTACAATAATATCTGATGTTGTAATTACAGGCGTCATCGACGACCTCTGAGTCGGGCTACGGGTCGCGGGAGGGTCGCGAGGGCCGGGAGGGTCGGGAAGGCCGCGAGGGTCGAGAAGCACGGGAGAGTCGCGAGGGACGCGACGACGCGAAGCCACCATACAGCTATGCGCAGCTAATCGTGCAGGCCGTCGCCTCCGCGCCCGACAAGCAGCTGACGCTGAGCGGCATCTACAGCTACATCACCAAGCACTACCCGTACTACCGCACCGCAGACAAGGGCTGGCAGAACTCCATACGTCACAACTTATCACTCAACAGGTAACACTATATTGTATTGATAACTTAATACGGTGACGTCATACTTAAATATATTGTTTTGTTATGGTACATTTATATGTTGTGTTTCGCCTTGCAGATACTTCATCAAGGTGCCGCGCAGCCAGGAGGAGCCGGGCAAAGGCAGCTTCTGGCGCATCGACCCGCAGAGCGAGGGCAAGCTGATCGAGTTGTCGTTCCGCCCGCGTCGCCCCCGCGGGGTGCAGTTCCGCGCACCCTTCGGACTCTCCTCGCGGTCAGTCTCTCATAGCTACACAAAACATACAACACCAAAACATACGTAACATGAGACATTTAGTATTTCTTCAGAGAAAAGCTGGTACGGATCGCAAATATTATAGTAAACTATTATGTTAACTGACAATTGCTCTTCTTAAGATTACTTTAACTAATAATACATGTATCAGTTAGTAAAATTAAAAGCTTGTACGTGATATTTTATTTGATAAACTTGTCCGATCCATAGGAGTGCTCCGACATCCCCATCACAAGTGGGCGTGTCGGGTCTGGTGACGCCGGAGGAGCTGTCGCGGGAGCCCACGCCCGATCTCTTCACCGGGGAAGAATCCGACCAACAGGTTTGTATAATGTTAATGAAATCTCTTTCTTATAACATTAACTCACATTTGAAGAAAAAATAAAAGCGACAATTCTCGTGATTGGTTATAATATTTGTACTGTGAATGTTACAGGCGAGCCAGCAGCGGCTGAGTGGGGCCGGGGGCGGAGGCGGAGGCGGGGCCGGTGGCGGTGGGGCCGGGGGCGGGGGCGGAGGTTCGCACTCGACGCAGTATATGTTCCCGCAGCGCAGCGGCGTCAGTCAGAGCGCGCCCGGCTCACCAGGTACATACATTGCAGAAACATTCCATGTGGATAGTTTCACACTGAGGTAGTGAACTACTGCTATTATTTGAACCAGAATATAATCTGTTTGCTTTGTGTTCTCCATAATTATGCTTCCAAACGATGTATTGCAGGACACGGGCTGTCGTACAACGCCAGCAGCAGCGGCCTGGTGATGACAGTCGTCACCAACGGCGCAGGCGGCGAGAGAGAGGGTAAATTATATATTTATGTCATTATTTCAATAGGTAATCTATGTTGTTAAGTGACAATAACATTCCGCCATTTTAAAAGCACGTTGTAAAGGTTGTACAACTGTCATTGTGTTTAGGTAGACATCTTATGTTCAAATTATTTACTAGCCATGAGTGTCACAAGGGGGCGGGGAGGGTCAGCTACCTTACCCCCAGAAAATTCAAAAGCTAAAACAGCTATAAAATTATTTCGAATAAGGCCATATTAATGGTAGTTGCTAGGTATTATTCGTTATAACTAAGTTAAATTTTTTTTTGATATTACATACAGACACTTCAATTTGTTTCAGTGTATAGATATAGGAATATTGAATTATGTACATGTGTGTTGCAGAGAAGTACGTGGTGGGTCGCGGCTCGGGCGGGCTGGTGCCGCTGCAGGAGGAGGAGGCGCCCCCCGCCGTGCTGCTGCACCACTCCCCCTACTACTCGTCAGTATCTCCTCCTTACTTACTTACTACTTCCCACTCCACATTCACCTTCACACTTGAAACTTTGCTCGACAAACTAGCTGTCGCTCGAGAATCCATCTTCCGAATTCCGTTCTTCTCAACTATGTTCTAAATCTCTGCCAATTTTTATCAAGACCCATGCAGCCGTTCTGGAGATACCTTCAAAGAAACGTCCATCCATTTAAACATTAACTAAACACTATTTGATGGAAACATTGTTGATTGTATAAAGTGATATTTATAAGCAAATGATGTGTGAATGTAAAGCTATGTATGGTATGTGTGCAGCGGCAGCTACGGCGGCGGGGAGGAGGGGTGCGCGGCGCTCGGCGGAGAGCTCGTCATCGAGGAGGCGCCCGACGACCCCCCACACAAGCGCGCCAAGCACCACCATGTATGTACGCCACCCCCCACACACAACTATACTTCAACTTTTCCTCTCGTTTATCCAGTTTTGATTACTGAATTTAAAATGACATGACTGAGTCAAACTAACCAGACCAAGTATTACCAGTCCTAAAAGAACAAGTTTCAGTATATGACTCATGCGTAAGATAACCAAGTCCTAGTGTCTTTCTTTGTCTTGTAATTTCAAAGTTTTGACACGATAGACCACCAAATCAATGGCTTAATACAAAATTGTGTGGTTTCCCTGAAATTTTCGAACTCGCACAGTTGCGTTGTGGTCCTCGGCATATTATACAAACCCCTACGACTTAGGTTCCTTCTATAGGTGACCTTGGCCGTTTATGATCAACTTGTTGTTCCCACTGCTCGTCTGCTCCTTAAAAAAAGGTTATAATTGTTTGTGGTGATGTGTTTCAGCTGTCAGAGATGGAGGAGAGGCGCGCGTATTGACGCCCCGCCGGCGCCGCCGCCGCCGCCGCCGCCGCCGCCACGTGAGCCGCGGGGGGACACCCGCCGCGCGTCACGTGACCCCCCGCCGCCCGCACCCACACCCACCGGCGGTCGAGTGACGCGGTTGTCATCCTGATCCCGGTACTAATCGGATCCGGATCGCCGGACGTGACGCACCCGGACGCGCGGCCGGCCGGACACCAGTGACGGCACCGGACGGCGGCCCGAGTGCAACAGTAAGCAATAATTTAACAGCGGCGAATATTGAACTCTACAGTGCTAAGAATAAAGTGTTGTTACGAGTGGTACATTTAAGTTTAAGCAATGCATTAGCGCATTTCCTCGTTTTTCTGACGGTTTTTTTTTAGTTTGTAAATTGGGCGCGAGCGCTGTGGACTCGGCCTGCGTGTCGTCATATGGACGTTTGTTTTTCTGTTACATTCTGTCACTGTGTACAGTCAGCTTGAAAAATAATTTAATTTAGCCCGAGCATATACTAGAACTACTAGAACCTATATTTTAAGCAAATAGCGCTTCGTTCGGAGTGCAATGTGGTACGATTTTGTTGAAATCCTGCCGATTTGTTCACAATTTATAAGTACAATAATGCTTTTCGATGTTTATCCGCTTAGTGTAAGTGTTGCGACCTGTTCACCCGTTGCAAGGATGTCCAGATACCGGTCACTATTTTTGAGGCTGACTGTACCTTTGGAGACATTGATGAGTATTTACCCAATGATGGTATTTATAAAGCCAAGAGGGAACCAGACCTCATGTAATCATAATGTTATATATTCACGAAAATACGTGTTTCAAATACTTAACAAAGTGTTAAACTAAATTGTTATTGACGTCAAAATAAACAAGTGAAATCTATTGGACATTTATGTTTTACTATCAAACTCTTTGACAGATAATTATTTGATGTCACTTTGACATTAATGTTAGTAAATGTGACATTTAGATTTTTGACAAACGGGAAAATATTCAGGAAAATTTTTAAATTTCACATGTGTAATAACCAACAATATTTATGAAAAATATTAATATTATTTAAAAAAAATTAAAGGTCGTTTTGAACTGTTATTGACGGATAGAACTCAGGACTTGAAGGCAGGGTCAGTTTGGTCAGAGATAGAAGTTTTATTATTTTGTGAGAGCTTATTTGGACCAACGTGACTTATGGTGGGGCGACCGCCGTCCCGTACCAAGGGAAGCCATACAAACGATCAATAGCACGGACATACCACATTTCACCAAGAATTAGTCAAATTTATACATTCTAGGACAACTCTGTTGATTTAGAGTCTCCATAGACAAATCTACCATAGACAAACTAGATTAGAGACTTAGCTAAAATAAATCTTCATATAACATTTAATCTTTCAAATGTAAAATGTAATTTTCATATTTAGTATTTAAAAAAAAATAAGAAAACTTTGTAAATTAATACTTTAATTAGGAGAAAAACAACAATAATCTCGAATAAGATATTAAAAATGAAACAATGTATTTTGAGACATACCGCATAACTTTTATAACTCTATGAATATATACATATATTTATATATAAGCATAATACATAATATATCATATGTAATCGATACATTGACATGTAATAAGTGTATAAATATATCCTGTTACCCGATAGGTTAAACAATTATATTGCAGATGGGTTAGGACATGAGTCGAGTTAAATGCTTAAACAGAAATAGTTGTTATTTGTATGCGCGTAAGATTGATATTTGCGTGTCGTCGTGTCGTCGTACAATGTAGCTACATTCACGAATGTCGGTGTGAGCGAGACGTTGTCTGCGTTGTCTGCGTGCACGTACAATCCAACAAGTTCCTTTAGTTTGTCGCAATCTTTACCTAGTTAGTTATATTTTAAATGCTCAAAATGAAAACTTTAATGGACATAATGTAGATTGTAACAATATGTTTTCATTTCTCATTCAAATTCATTAATTATTTGGTTTTTTTGATATTTAGTTTCCACCAACGTAACATTGTTTGATGGTTCCCTTGTATGAATTTCAAATAATCTTAAATTTGATGAAAAGTAACCGATTTTTCTTACATTTTAAACATTTCTTTTGCAAATCAATATGTAAGTAGGACAATTTATTTAATAACTGTTGATTTCTGATATCAAAATCTCTATATAAAACATATTGTTATCCCTCATCTTCAAAACAGACATAATAATATGTTTTAAACGTATGTTTTGGTCTCAGAAACCTACGATGATATATGTATTGGTTATAATCCCATTCAAATATCAATTTATGTATTTATGTGAATGAATAAAATGTTTTATTGCTGTTTACAGTCCGAGTTCCGTCATTTTTATTCTTTATATAACTGGAAAGTTATAAAAACCAAATTGTCGTGAAAATATTTCGCTTTGAAAGCTACAACAAAACAAATGGTTCTATAATTTAAATGTTATAATTTAGTTGATAAATTTCACACTAAGCTTTATTTATGTTAAGATTTATCGATCAAATTTCAGCTGAACTACCAAAAGTTTGGGAGAATTGTGAACGCCATGATGTGCAATAAATTTTTTTTAAATAAACAACATTACTAGAACGTTGATTATAATTTATGATTATAAGATGAAATATATGTTTTTTTGTGAATATTTGTTACAATGTAATAAATGTTTGAAGTTTTGTGAGTAATTTCGGTATAGGTGTTGTGATGTACGGTAGACGGAATTGTCTAGTTTTGGTTCATCATTCTTCGGTTTAGGTGTAAAAATATAAATATGAAAAGTTTATAATGATAATAAATATAATTGTAAAAGTAATATAACGCGTAGTTGTATGTTATATTATAGTAGATAGCGCAAAAAGCACCCTAGATATATATTTTAGCATTTAAATATATACATGTGAATTATATATAGTGAGAGGCTTTAGTATGGTATGTTTGTATCATCTGTCTTATCACATTTCTATATATATCTCCGTCAAAATCTTATTACATATAAAATATATATTTTATGTCGCATTCGGCCATATTATTTTTTCCCAGTTATATAAATATTGCAAGAAACCTGATTTGTTTTTAGTATTAATATTTTGTTTGACTTCGAATAAAGTTTCGTCTACAATATGTTTTGTAAATATTTTATAACATTCCCTGCCAATGAATCTCACTTGTTTAAAATTATTTATGTATACGGAAATATAGATTTTGACGGTGATTACATTTTTGTGTAAAGCGTTTTAAATATATCGTTTGTATGTAAATGTCTACTTGTTTAGAAAAAAGTTGAGTAAATTAATTTAACGTGTAATTTATTGGAGAAAATAACGAAATAGATTTTGATATATTGCTTAATTCATTAAATATTCTACTGGTACCTTTTATGTTTTAGGTTTATTTAAAGGTATTTTAAATCGAGCGATATTCGATTTTAAAACGCCTAACACAAAGATGATAGTGGTGTAAAGACAGGCTCGCGTGTATATCGAAACGTATCGGCTGAAAGAATTTGTTTAGATAAGTTTCAAGTCCGGGCGATATTTTTTCAGTAGTTGCTTATTGTGGCATTGAAAATGCCGGATAGAATGAGTTGCGTGTGCGCAGGGGGCGGGGCCGGGGGCGGGGGGCAGGAGGGCGTGTGGCGGGGGCGGGGGCGGGGACGAAGCAATATCGACTGTAAGTCGTGCGCATAAGGTCGCTTTCCGCCCCCGCGGGCTGAACGTCGCGGTGACCATTTAGTAAGTTGTTGTCCCGCATTCTGTGTACAGATTCAGTGATACGCTCGTATCTATCTGTCTATGATATATTATTGACAAATTTTAAGAAATAAACGTATTTTATCTCCTTTCTCGTCTCGTTTTATTTATCCCTAGAAAAATATAGTCATAACTAGTTGTTGCCCGCGACTTCGTCGAAATTTAAAAATAACTAAATAAGTAGCCTATGTTTGCCACACTATGGTATATATGTATGCCAAATAACATCGCAATCTGTTCAGCCACTCTAGAGATACCTTCAAATAATCATCCATCTATCTAAACATTCGCATTTATAAATTAGTAAGATTTTCTTAAAAATAAAATATTGATGTTGATAACTAATCGGTACACACTAATATTACCACCAATTTATTTATAATAATTTTATATAAGCAACTCTTAACCAGTTATGTGAAATTAATCTAATCCAAACTAATTTTTACTTGAAAACTTTTTGTATGTAATGTGACGAAGAAATCTATCAGCCGCTGGTGAATAATGATGTCATTATTTTGGTTTTTTACCACTCCTAAAAGCTATTTGTTATTTAAACAAACCATGTCTTTTTTGTTGAATATGTTTATTTGCATATTTTATTCTGTACAAAGAAATCGCTTATTTAACTATAATAGAATTAATATTATTGTAAAAGTATATAAATTTACACTAACATAAAATTTAACAAACTATTATGTACATATATTTCTTATTTACATTGTTATACGATGCTTCTCGAGCCAGTCGATGCATCTCGCTATGCAAGTAATAAATAAAATACGAAACAGTTAAAATGAAACTTAAGAGTTTGTAGAATTTCCGAATGAGTTTTGTAGGGATGTTAAAATCTCATTGTTAAGCAAAGATGGCGCGTTGATCGCCCACAAATAATCTAAGTGGTTGAACTTAGGGTCTGGGACCAGGTAGACATCCGTTGTCGCCGGCAAACTCTCCTGCAGATGTTTTACGTCTTTCTCCGTCGACAACAAATCATTTTGAGCCCAGAATAATTTTATAGGCAACGTTATTTTACTCAAGTCATATTCAGGAGGTTTTTCCTTGCCGTAAATCTTTTTATTGTTCCAAGGGCCCAGGTCGAAAAATTGGAACCTTCCCTTGGCTACAATTTCCTGGGCGTAGTGCACAATCGTTTTCCATGACGTCCCTGCACCGAAATGTGCCAAAAAGACTGGCAGCAACGTCTCGTTATATTGCTTCTCGTTTTCGCCGCAAATTTGAAAGATAGCGTTTCTGCAAAGTTTGTTGTCGACGTACTCAATACTGCATGAAGTGACAAGCTTCCCGAACATTGAGTTTTTAGGTAAAAATTCATGGGAACCGTACAGCATTTCCATATGTGCCACATTGCTGGCAAGCGGCGCGAGAGCCTTTATAGGTGACTTTATGTCTGACATGAAGGCGACCGGCGCAAGCGCGTACCCCGCCGTCAGCACTCTGTTGTACTCCGGTCGCAAGGATAACATTGCAAACAGAATGGTGCTGCCCATCGAATGGCCGATGTATGTAATCTTCGTGTCTTCTCCTTTCAGCTTCATTATATAGTCAATAACGGCGGGGATATCATAAAGTGCGATGTCGTGCCACGAAAAATTCCAATACGACTTAGTATTCCTTTTGAGCGAGGCGTGCTCGGCGGAGTATACGTTGCCTCTGATGTTAGACATCCAGACATCGTAGCCGGCGTCGGCGAGCACGTACGCCAGCGCCTTGTTCGGCCCATTCAGGATCCAGTCCGCGGAGCTGGCAAACAGACCGTGCTGGAGCAGCACTGTCTTGGAAGAAATGTTGCCGCCTTCCTTCGAATGGGGAATTCTGTGCAAATTCAGGATGTATCCCTGAGATATGACAGTGTGCGTCTCGCAGTTATACCCGAGACGTACGACGCGGGCCGGCACCGTGAGCACGGCGTCAGGGCTGGGTAGGGTGGATGCAGCGTCCTGTGTCGGCACGTACGAGAACGAGTTGGCGATCTGTTGGCCTCGGTCCTTCACATTCTCTATGTAGCTGTTTATCTCGGTGCTGATTTTGTTCTGCTGCTCCTCCACGTAGTTGTCGAAGGTGTTCTTCATCTTCATTGCGCGCGCGTAGCTCGAGGAGAAAGCTTCCTCCATCTCGTTGCCGCGCTCCTCGAGGAAATTTATGAAGTTGTGCGACTGGTCGGTAAAGAAGTCGCTCAAGTTGAGAGTCGTCGAGAATGACGTGACGCCGGACAGGAAAATAAAATAGACGAGCGCGGTGTACATCGCACCGAGTGCTCACGCCGCGGGAACTGTTCGCTTAGCTATAATACACGATTGGTATAATTTACGATGACCCGCCGGTGTGAGGTCGACCGACACGATGTGATAATTCCCCGAGTGCTGTGCGTCATTTGTCTTTTTTACGCGATTACAAATTTACATGAAACTGTATTTTATCTCAATTTTTTGCCGACACGACGCCTGATTACATAGATATGGATATATACGTACACACGTTCGTCTTGTTTACGGAACAGAAGTATAACATTACAGTAACCACACAGATGCAAAGAAATGGATTTTTCTGCGCCTGTGCACGTGTGAGTTGAATAAAAGTGTAAGTATTGTTTGTAAGTATTTACATCTCGTGTATGTAAATTTCTTTCCTGTATTTGTGGATAATTTACACATAGAGGCTAAACTATGCCAATAACTGTTTGCAGTGCCCATCGTGCTATTACGGTAGTGTCAAATATCTTAATTATAATAATGACATGTTAACAATGCAATGTATCGGCGTGTGTCTGCAGGAAATTAATTCCTGGGGCTATTTATGTATCGCAGCCGACCGCAAGTCATGTGGCGCCACGTGATAAAATATCTTTATCTATTAAACTTCTAAGACGTTTTTCGTGACCTTTGTTGGGACTCTATGTTCTCTTTACATACTATACGTCATTCAGATCTGAGGGAGTGGGTGGGGGGTGGGGGGGGGGCTAGGGCAGGGTAGAAAATAAAACAATAAAGAATTTATCTATTACTTTTTTTAATGATCAATTGTAAGCAAACATTTGTAAGCAATGTTACAGTAGGTAAATAATGTTTTCCAAATTAAGAAGTAGTTCATCCTAATCTCTTCGTATTTTCGTACAGGCTATCTGGGGATTTTTCGCAGATAAATGGCGCTGTATGCTCGCACGAAAAGTCGTCTAGGCCTCCGCTCTTAAACATGCCACCGCACATCGTCACATGCGGGGAATCAGGCTGACCATTCTCGAACTTCGAGTAGCCCGCCGCTTCTATAGGTTGTCCTAAACATACAAAGAAATCTCATTGGCAACTCTGTTATACTATAAATATGAACTTCCCTCTAGCCTTGTACACATACACAGTCATTCAGTACTGTCTTTTTAAACCCATTCGGTCCTCAATATCGATAATGGTTCCATAGCAATTAATCTTCAAACAAAGATGCCGAGAGAAAAGAAAGCATAAACAGTAAAAAAAGATCTGACTATTGTAATTCAGTATAAGTGCAAAAGAGTACGGACCAAGAGTCTGTAGATGTCTTTTGTTTTAATAGAAAAAAAAAACAGTCATGGGCAACACGTAGTATGAGAAAGAATAACTATGATACAAACGAACCATGGATGGTCTTCCAATCACCAATCTCTCCCCAGCTGTGGAAACCTATATGTAATACGTGTCTTATAGTGGCCATGATTTGCGATTCGGGATGTTTGGCGAATATCTCGGCAAGCACGGTCGCTTCCACGTTGCTATTGACGATAGTGAGGTAGCCCCCCTCGGCCGCGCACGCCATGAACGCCCGTGACCAAGTCCTGCCCACATTGTGGAACTTGTAGCAGGAGCCGGTTCTTGCTTCGTAACTGTATCCTACAAGGATATTACTAGTAACGTCTACACGTTTTGGTATAAAAATACCGCTCAATACCTCAAGGTCGGTTACGAAATAAAGTATGGACTTAAAAACTCATTTCGAATGTTAATACTATTAAACAAAATTAAAAAAAAACTGCCTTGAAAAATTTACAAAATGATTAATTTATATCAATTCTTACGACGAAAATTGATAACTTTTTACACGGAATAATTTTGAAATATTCGTTAGGACGGCGTATGTTCAGAAAATTAATTAAAGTGATGTTAACTTACCCGGATCAACAGTGCCGCATTCATTCAATATTACTGGGTTTTTGACTCGACTTCTATAGCACACATAAGGATACAGTTCCGTGCATTTAACATCAGCGGCAGTACCGTTACCTTGCAGGATTATACAATCTTCTTTGCCCTCGTAATTGTCAGGTTCATTGGGTGCCCATTTGATAGGCATTCTTGCAATAGGTGTCCCTGGAGTGTTAAAAGTGAATGTCTCTTGTTTTCACAAGGCTGACTTGTTATACGACTGTTCTACCAAAACCTCTGTATAACACATCTTCATCCCTGTCATTATGTTTTACAAAACAAAGATAACAATATGTTTTAAAAGAATTTTGGTAACAAAGTCTCATTCTTATGTTGATAATATTTCAAAATGTAAACGAATAAACAAAATACATGGACGTGATACAAGTTATGGAAAATTCGATATATTTTGACGTCTCTTGTGTAATAATAATAATAACACGTCTGCCACTTCCACACATACCTTCGACAGAGAAGTAGTCTCCCGGTGAGAAGGTGGCGTGGACTCCCGTGAACACGCCACACGGGAAAAACTCTGACGCTATTGATCTTAAGGTCAACGCTAACTCAAGAGTCTCTGGTGACGCCAGCGCTGCACCTGGCGTTCACAAACATCGTTACGATTTTGAAACAACAGTAGAAAGCCACTTATCCAAGTTAATTGGGACCGAAAATTTGGATAAAGAAAAGTGAACTGTCAAACATAGAATAAACTTTATTAAATGTAACACAGTTCTACAATAACGTTCACTTGAACATCTCGATCAGAGTAAGTTGTAACCCCATCCGACCTTAACAAAATACAAATTATAAAAATTTATATTACGCTTAAGACCGATGCAGATAATCGGCGTTCTACTGAATTCTTAAAAAAAATGTCTGATAAAGGCTGAAGAAAAGCTTATAAATTTACAATCAGAAGTTTCTTGTGTGATAATTTCACAAGAACTTTGTCGTAATAGATGAAAAGTATGAATATATATATCACAAAACTTACCTTCAAATTGACACCGGAGGCGAGCTTCTTGCCATTTTGCGGGAAACAAATGTATTTTTATCCAACCATTAATTTCATCAATATATTTATAGTCGTAGCGATATTCTTTCGATTCTATAAATAATAACAATTCACACATGACGTGGATGTATGCACATATTAGAAGCGTATCCAGGAATCCGCTGCATCCTTAGTCAGTGACAATAACAAACCAGCCTATATTTAACTAGTGTTTGTATAACACATGGGAAACATAACATAGTGACGTGTTTCAACCAACTTAAATTATTTACAGAATACATTTTACCTAAGACCGTAGCATTGAACAGAATCTAGTTTATAAAACTGGAAAAACACATCAAATAACTATTGCTAATATTTAAATGTAGGAAATGCATACAAAAACTGCACAAAACTTACCTAATAAGGATGTACAGTGAAATATGATAAATAAAATAAGCATAGTATTGAGAGACATCGTCACAATGTAACAAAATATAAATTTATAAGCAACTGACAACTCTTACTGGTAAGAAATCATTCAGCAATGAAAAGATACAAAATAAAAGACATATGTACAGTCTTATCAAGAGAAGTTATTTACAATATGAAAGCGTTCAAGCATTATATGACCTACTAATGCAATGCAAAACATACAAATTAAAAGTTAAAATAAATCAGTCTTAAACAAATTTAACGATATAAGTATAATAAATTAATACTGATACATTTAATGTTGGTTTCTGAAATCAATAACTCTGTATAAAACATTGCCATCTCTGTCATTATCTTTGACAAAGCAAAGATAACAATATTTTTAAACGGAGATTTTGGTCTCTGAAACCCACGGTTAGAGAGGAAAGTTCCTTTATGTTTTTAGGCCCCGGTGTTAACTAATTAAAAGTACGCTCAAGTCAAAGAAACACACACGTACACAAAAACACTAAAATTTTTACACCGGGTTGTAAACACAATTTTTATTTATTTAAGAGAATATAGTTTTCTGTCAGATTATAACATAGTAGGAGTAAAGACTGACGAGTTTTAAAATAATACGGTAACATTTATATTTTAAACCACCTTTGACCCAACAGACGATAAAAGGGTCAAGCGCAGTATTAATCTTTACATTACATTAAGAAAACAAAGCGTAATTAGTACGGCGGCGGTTGAGAAAACCGATACCGAGCGGACTGGGGAAGTACCAACTTACTAAATTACTTGAAACTATCTCATATTAGTCTAGATATATATTTTGATATTGAACATATACTACTCGATATTCTACAGTCGAGATATATTGTGAGCCATTTCTCAGTTTTAAAATAATTATTTCGTCTTATTCATTTTTATTTTGCTGGTCTTGGTCTTCACGAGGCACCTCTACTCCTGGTAATTAATTAGTTAAAAATTGTTGTCATATTTAAACAGCATATTTTATAGTATACTAGCTGTCGCCCGCATCTCCGTCCACGCGTTATTAAAAAAAAACTTAGTGAGTAGCATATATGTTCTTCCATGCTCTACATCTGTACAAAATTTCATCAAGATCCGTTAAGCTGTTCCGGAGATACCTTCAAAGATCCATCCATCTAAACATTCGCATTTATAATATTCTTCAGAAGTAAGATATAATCCATGTCTATAAACTATGATAAAAATTAAAAGACAGTCGTAGCAAAAAATATAAAAAATGGACATCCGATGACAACTTTGGCGCCACCTTGCGTACGAGTTTGTAACTATTAAACAGGCAATTGTGTGGATTATGTTATTATATACTTACTTAAGATCCCAAAGAATAAATTAATTCAGCAATCGCTTAATATTTATATAATAAAATCAGCTTCCGATTGAGCTTTGCCGGAGCCATGTTTATTTAACGACAGTTTACAAATTCGAGTTGTTTAAATGTAACGACTTGATAACTGCGGAAAGTCGAGGAAACGGACTCGTTACTGAACTAAGAACAATTACTATGCTAACAATTTTAATATAATTAATGTAAAGTTGTTTAATTCAGAGAGTTGTTGTTAATTTTAATTTAAGCAATTTTTTTTTGTTGGATGGATATGGTGAATTCTAAGAAGTAACAACTGGCTTATTACTGAAGATAGACTGGATGAATTGAATGTGTAAATTACTTTCGCAAATGTGTACAGGATCTTTGTTGATGCACATTATATTTGCACTTTACATATGAATGGACAATTTAGTTCATTAGCGGTATTAAATCTTTAAGCGAATGGTTTCAGCGTCTCGTGCGCCTTAAAACGTTGAAGGTCGGTAAAAAAATATCCTGTTTAAATATATAAAAATCAGGAATGCAAGTTATCGTCTTGTTCATCTTCTTTTTCCTTTTTTAATTGATAAAGAGGTGAGGGAAGGAAACAATTTTATTGTTAGTGGATCAGAGCCAACGACGGTGACTGTACAGACCTAATACATAGTTACACGAGTAGATATAAATTACGGTCATTGGTAATTTATTTCAATAACTTTCATATGACTTAAGTAATTACCAATATAACGGAGTTAATATTTTTATGGTTAACGGTAAAAGTTACGATGTCCGAGAGACAGAGGCGAGTGCAGTTGTCGTCTCTGACGCTGCTGAGGACCTCGTAAAGTAAGTTTAAATGCTGCTTTAGTTTGCTCTTGAAAATTGTGAGAATAAGACCGTGCTACACTGAAAGATGGAATTCATTATCTCACCTGTCACATGAAATTACCTTTTCTACTAAAAATTTACTTACAAATTAGCATAGAAGGGATGGTTGCACGGTCGGTTTTAGCATTTCCGGCGCCCTAAGTAGATTTTTGTGGCGAAACAGGCGCCTCTTTACATTTGACAATAGCGCCGTCTTACGCTCGGCGCCCTGAGCGGCCTCTTGATCTCATAGAATTTGGAATCAATAGTTTCATGTTTAAATGTTTAATTTATGCTCTATATATATCACTACAAAAAATGTTTTTGTTATTTGTTCAAGACAAAATTACAATGAAAAAAAAAGAGGTATTGATTTGATTTAAATGTAGCTTCATCTACTTATGTATATCGCAAGTAACTTGTGTGCACTGGAGGACAATCTTAACCATCTCTTTATTCCACTCGAATAAAAGTGAAGGAAATTTTATATCGCTGTCCTCCCTGCAGACTTCACTAGCGTCATAACCCGGATGAGTTCTGTAATAACTTCGCGATCCGCACACAGCCACCTTATAATTATACTAGTCTAGTTCAATGGATATAAAAAATTATAACAAACCTATGGAAACTAAATTGCCTTTATAAGTCTGTAACCACAGTATTACAAACATAGAAATGCTTGTATCAACAATTTAAACATTGAAACTTCTTCAAATAAATCCGTAGACATATTATCAGCCAGTGACATTTACAAATATAATTTCTCATTTCCATTGAATTTGACTATATATTATACATATACAGGGTGTCCCAAAAGGTTACGTACATAGGAAGGGGGATGATAGGGGTGGTCACAAGGGTCACCAGAAAAATAAAATAAAAATTCCCCTCTGGGTATTAAAAAAAATAAGGGGCATTTTTTTTTAAACTTAAAAATTTTACACCTTCTGGGGCAATTTTGTAACCAATGACCTACAAATATTGCTACATTAAAAAAAAACTATTATGTTATCGTCAATAACCCTTTATCAATATTAAAATTAAAATTGCCCCAGAAGGTGTAAAATTTTTAAGTTTTTAAAAAATGTCATTTATTTTTTTAATACCCAGAGGGGAATTTTTATTTTATTTTTCTGGTGACCCTTGTGACCACCCCTATCATCCCCCTTCCTATGTACGTTACCTTTTGGGACAATAATTTCAATATATTAGTGTATCCTGTATACACTAATATATTGATAGCTATTGTCTGTTTTATAATAAGCGTGATTTTTTTCTAATCCCTCTTTTTTAATTTTCGTTTTAAAATGTAAAATCCAATAGGAAATGTAGGAAACTTATCTAACTATTACATAATATGTATGTATTTAGTAGAAATTGTTAATATGGTTTTTTCCCTGTAGATCATTTAAAATTAAAAATATTATTGATTGAATCGTCGTAGAATTTTTCCAAATTAAGCTAGACCTTTTTTTAAATGCATTCTTTTGAATTGTTTAAAACATGCAGTGAAATTGTAAAGTCAAAAACGGTTATTTTGACTTCACAAATTTTATAGTCTGTTTGATCATTCAAGCCAAGGTCAGAATGTAAGATGTTGAACAAGTCCTACTTGAGGACCTTTGATTTACTAGTTCAAAGAACAATTTAGATCTATGAATTCGGCAACATAGAGTAAAATATTCAGTATCTTATTATTTCAACATTATTAATTTAATTTTTATTTAATTAATTTTAATCTCCCATGAATTAAATACATAGTGTTAGGAAGAAAATCCGGAAATGAGCCAGTGTATTGACTCAACACTAGCCTTACTAAAATGTCGACGTTTGTGTCCCCTCACTATTCATTCTGGCACTGGACTTTGTAACGAAAGCACGTCATTCGCGCCACAGGTTTCTAACTAATAATGTGTAAAACTAGTTATATTGTCTCGTATAAACAATTTAGAATGAAAATATTATTTAGTTGACAAGCTGCGTCATGTACACTGTGGCTCAGAACTTTTATTGGGCCGTAACTGGCTTTGTTATACAAGTCATCAAGCCGCCCTTTATGAAGATGACATGTTTTATGAATACCTGCCCCTCAATGTGTTCACAGGATCCATTCCTTGATTACCTATTTATTCATAATTGGATATAAAAGTTGGTAGTCTGTGTCATTATTCTGTTTTGTGTCGTATTTATTGTATTAAAGAAATGCTTTCTAAGCAAAATTTTTGTCTGAAATTTTATGCTGAGCATTAATTTGTGTAATCTTACTAATCTTATAAATGCGACTGTTAAATGGATGGATGGATGGAAGTATGTTTATTAGAACGTATCTCCAAGACGGCTTAACGGATCTCGCAGAAATTTTGTATAGATGTAGAAGATATTCTGGAAGAACATTCTATTAAATATATTTTTATTTCGGCGCGGATGGAGTCGCAGGTAAGTGCTAGCCGATAATAATTACGTAGTCAGTCATAATGTTTGATATTAAGTACTATTTATCAAGTCGATGATGTAATGATATTAGAAAGATATGGCCACGTCATATTAATTAATTAATCTTTTCTTTGTAATTGTTTTCTCAAGTATTTTCACAGTAGCCACTAGAAGTGAAAGGAAGGAATTACGAATACTGTTAAGTATGGAATTTGTATGAAGTACACTTAACACTTATTTTCAGGAATGGGGAGAAGCATTAGGAAATATTCCATTAATCAAGTATTAATGATATGACACCGATAGTGATAAACAGTTACGTAATCTAGTCAATCCCCACATCTGCACGTTCACTATGTTAAAAAAATAACATCTTTATTTTTTTTCGAACAGTGGAAATATCTGCTTGAAGTAGCGATAAGTAAAGAGGTTGCATCGCAAGACACGTCTTAAGATTACGATGTGGTGAATGAACCACCTTGCAGATCTCTTATCTTAAGATAATAAAATTCGTAAAATGTACAGCATATCCTCTTATATCATACTTTTATCTTATATATTTTCATCCAAAGGTTAAATCACGGGAAAAAATTGTTTCTAATATTTCTTAACATTTTGTAGGTTATGTAAGTTTTGTCAATAATTTTGATAAAAATATTTATTAGATTTCGAATCTCGGGCTATCTTTGGTACGCTAAAGGTCAGTTGCTTTAACTGCACATTTATTTCTTATCAGATTTTCTTATTTCCTCATACATTGTTTTATTTATTTTTTTAAATTTATGATACTTAAATATAAATTAATTTGCCTAAAGAAGAACTAATTAGTTAGTTTTATTCTTAAAAGCTAAACTGTGCTTAATTGTAGGATAAGATTAGGTACTTTACAAGAGATCTTGAACTCTGAGAAGTTTGATTGTAAGTGACTTAAGGATGAGACTTTAAGTCTGAAACTAAATTCCAGAAACAAAACATCTTTTCAAGGTTTTTTTTACTAATTGCACAAATTCAAAGAAAGAAACGATTAAGAAATTGTATTTTACAAAACTTAAACAAAGGTGACGCCCGCGCACCGAACAATCGCCGAACAAAGATCGAAATGTAAATAAATTTAATATTTGATTGTGGCGTTGACGTTAACTAGTATAATAACAAATTAACAATTTATAATTACTTCAGCAATTAATTAGAGGGCGAATTAATTATTCCGGCAACAAACCATCCCGTCCTCCCTTGAGTCTCGGAACAACCCCCAACGTTTACATTTCACTTTTGATGTAACAGGAAGCGACGGAAAATGAATTCCCACGAATTATTTAAAGGGCGAGAACACCTTTATTGGATAAACACAAGATTTGTATCAAAATCTCTCGACTGCATTTTAATTTTTTTTTACTTTTACGTCATACAGTTTTACATAACAATATCTAATACCCCCTGAGTAAGCAGCATGTAAAAATGTGATGTACACTAGAAAATGTATCAGTAAGTCGAGTGGACGCCAAACAAAACACTCGAGAAGATAATGTTATCTGACGCGATAAAGATTTGCAAGGAAGTTCGTATAAAACGAGGTTCACGGACAGACCCCTCCATAAAGAACGATTGCTACAATGACTCTGGCACAGAATTTAATTCTGATCTGTTTGGCGGCGAGCGCAGTCGCTAAGTCTCTCCGCCAGGATGACGAAGCCAAGGCCGAATTGGAACGATACATTGAAAATAAAGTACCCGACATTAACCAAAGATGGAGACCACATTACCATGTTGCACCACCCGTAGGATGGATGAACGATCCCAATGGATTCTCGTACTACAATGGGGAGTACCATCTTTTCTATCAATTCTACCCATACGACAGCGTGTGGGGACCGATGCACTGGGGCCACGTATCGAGCCCAGATCTGGTCCACTGGCAACAGCTGCCGACTGCGCTGCTGCCTGATGAAGAGCAGTGCTTCTCCGGCAGCGCGGTGCAGGACGGTGACACGATGGTGCTCATGTACACCGCTCACATCCTCTCTGACAGGGAACCGTTCTACAACGAAACACAGTACTTGGCATACAGTGATGACGGAGTTGATTTTTACAAATACAGTGGCAATCCCGTTCTGCCGTCGGCTCCGAACGGTTCTCCTGACTTCCGCGATCCAAAAGTGTGGAGACACGGCGACCACTGGTATGTAATCCTCGGCAGCAAGACGACCGACCTCAGAGGAAGAGTGCTATTGTACAGGTCGACAGATTTGAAGGATTGGGAATTTTTAACGGTTCTAGCAGAATCGCAAGGAGACATGGGTTACATGTGGGAGTGTCCCGATTTCTTTGAGTTGGATGGAAAGTTTATCCTTCTTATGTCGCCACAAGGATTAGCACCTCAAGGAGATCGGTACAAAAACACTTACCAAAATGGATACATCATCGGTAGCTTTAATTATGAAACTTTCGAGTTCGTCCAGGAAGTTCCGTTTCAGGAAATCGATTTTGGCCACGATTTCTACGCCGCTCAAACGACTGAAGTCAATGGAAAGAGATATCTGATCTCCTGGTTTAGTATGTGGGAGGTGCCCCACCCGGAGGACGTTGACGGCTGGGCTGGCATGATGACAATCGCAAGAGAATTAAAACTTGTCAATAATAAGATAATTATGAAACCCGTGGAAGAAATGACAAACATAAGACAAGGTGTTCCGATTCTCAATGTCTTGGAGTATAATGAGGAGCTAGACTTGGAGCAGGCTGTTGAAATTAATATTGAAGCTAATTTTGATGAGATATTGGAAATTAAACTTGAAGGAAAGAATGGTGGCGGTCATGTTGTGCTCAGTTGGGATCCATTAGTGGGGAAGGTGGCGGTGTCTCGAGGAACTGAGGACGTGCGGCAGGTGGAGTGGAATCCGAGCAATGAAACTTCATGGAAAATCTTCCTAGACTCGAGTTCCATTGAGTTGTTCTGTGGTATTGGCGATGTGGTATTCAGTAGTAGAGTGTATCCGCTGGGTGGCTGGCGTCTGACAAATCTTAGCTCTCAAGATATCGAAATAGAAGCGTACAATTTGAAAAAGAGTTTTCCCGTGTAAGTCGAATGAATTCTGACATTAATTTAAAAAAGATCTATTACACAAGTTAAGGCATTATTCGTTGTAAAATTCCTGTAAATATTTAATAAATTTGTTTTTATATTATTTGTGGTGTTTAATTTTTTTTTAATTACATTGCATATGACGGATCTTTAAAATCTTTTCTTCTCCTTTGCATAGTAAAATTGTCAGTACGTTTATTTCTATCATATTATATGATGTTGTATATTAATTAATAAAGTATCACTTATATGGTTTATTATCCATCTAAGTTGTTAAATATTAATGGAACAATTTATAGTCACGTCAAAGGGAATGTGCTAACACGTAAATGATGCTCAATTTAATGGACCCTTTAGTTGTATAATTCAGTTTCGTTTCAGAAACTAAAACCCGAGATTTAATTCGCTTATTTGGATTATGTTTTTTACGTGTGTTTGTACTAATGAATGTGGCCTCGTATGTAAATTGACGGTCGCACGTCTGTAGTGAAATCAACCGAGTTTTATGTGTCATATCATACATTTTTTTTTCAGAAAGTCAGTGGTTTCTTGGTGGATTTTCAATTAATGTAAAATTTTTATTCATTTTGATTTGATAAATGCGAATGTTTAGATGGATGTTTGTTACAAGGCATCTCCAGAATGGTTCGACGGATCTCGATAATATTTGGCACGGATGTAGAACATAATTTTGGTGAATGCATAGTATACTTACTAAGTTTTTAAATACCACGCGGACGGAGTTATGGGCAACAACTAGTACTGTAATAAATAGTAATTTATAACTGTCTAATGAGTTTTTAAACTTGATAGATAGCGACGTAAAAATATATTGTAGCAGGAAAAGTTTCAACTTTTGTTACAAAGAGACGTAAATTTGCGTTAAATGAAATGCAAATAATGTTTTTGTGGATGCTTCATGTAACAACTTTTTCATCGTTGTGTTGCATTTAATTACGCGTGTGTTTATTAAACAAATATTTTATTTAGAATTTACAATATGTATATAAGTCGACAAGTTATGTGACCCAATGTATGCACAACGAAAAGTAAATTTTGACGAAAAAATATAGGTTAAAAAATATTCTGTACAGAAGCTAAATGAAATCGTATGTGTACACAGGAAAGACAATTTTACAGTTCGAGGACACAAAAAAGTTTAAATAAGTAACAGTATGTTGTAACGAGATTAGATTGAACTAACTTTTTAAACCACATGTATGTTGAAAAGATATACGGTACTATGTTAACCATTATTTTCTAACATGTTTTTTTGAAAACTATGTTAACAAAATTTTGTCGAATTTTATATACAAAAAATTTCGAAAACTTTTTTTTTTATATTAAAAGGTGGCAAACGAGCGAGCGGCCACCTGAAATCACTGAAATAGCGAAGTGACCGTTGCCCATAGACATACGCAATTGCATATGCGTTGCCTACCTTTAATCGACGGAGGAGAGGATGCACAGAAAGAAAATATCTTCCCTTTCCATGCATCCTCTCATCCGGAAAGTCCACTTTCACTACCCATCCTTGCCTTATAAGGAAAAGGATGGGAAGGGAAAGAGGACTAAATTAGGCCTCCGGGACACACACTCATCAGACGAAACGCGGAATTGCTTCCACTTGACGCCTGTCTTCTGTGTGGTCGTGGCATTTCACCGGGCGAGCCGGGCCGATTGGTGCGAAGATGTTAAAGCGGGCTCTACCACTGTTACTACTAATGTAAACTGTAAACTTCTGTGATTTTAGTATTTATGCAAAATAGGTTTTTCTTTTACTTGAAAAATAGATCAAATTTTATTTATTACACACTACGCTGTAAAAACTTTATCGTCGTATCCTATCGTATTACTAAACTAGACAATCTAATTTATATAGACTTCAAACTCTACACTCGAATAGTGAACTGACAAAATATGTCTGACCTCTTAATTATCTTTGAGAGTGAAGTTGTAATAATATCATCGCTGTGGAATTGTCACGTTCAGCGCAAAGTCGACGTCAATTCTCAACAATTAGAGACATGCACGCTGCATTGAATTAATTATGACCTCTCACATAACTGTAACTATGTCAAAATTGTTAAGCAAAACTCTTTGAAGTTTCGATATATGTCGTTCTTAACTAATAAATTGATTTTTAGATATATTTAAGGCGATACAGTACTGGATTTATTAGAAGTGAAGATATTTGAACTTATATAAGCTTTTTTAATACTATGGTATCTTGATGTTTGATTTTTTCTTATATAAACAGAGTTTTTTCATTAATTTTGTTTGTACAGTCATGTGGATGAATCCTCATTCCCTTTCCACGTATCCTGTCTTCAAAAGATTGGTTTCTTTAAAGATCTCCTCACTCCCCCTTTTGAAGATTCTCCCCTTGTGTTTGTATAATGAATCTATTCGTTTGTAAACAATGTTTACATTTGATTTAACATCGCTTTTTAACTTAATTGGACTAATAAGACGTAAATAAGGTTGAATCTGCGTAAAATTAAATGAAGAGAGTAAAGAGCTTATAATTTATTAGCTGTTTTCCGCGACTACGTCCGCACTGAATTAAAAAAAAAAACGAATTAGTAGCCTATATGTTGTAGACTATGTTCTACATCTGTAGCCGATTTTCTGACTAGTAGTAATATGCATATAAAAACTCATTAAAATCAGTCGAGCCGATTCCGAGGAATGAGATAAGTAACATTGTGACAAAAGAATTTCAAATCTAAGATATTATTTATATTTTAAGCAATGTAGTAAATAAAATTAAAATTTTTGAAAAAATCAAAGTAAAGGTTCCACCGAGATTTGAACTCGGATCGCTGGATTCAGAGTCCAGAGTGCTAACCGTTACACCATGGAACCTCTAATGGAAAATTATAAAATTTGTTCAAAGTAAATGTGATTTTGCTAGTTAAGAAACAAGATGACATATTTCTGAGAATCTACCTGTTGTACACTTAACTGAAATGTACCTGAAATATTTTAATTCACTACAAATCTAAGATGCTGATTCGTAGAATGTAGAGATCATTTTATATACTCTTTGGTAGCCATAGTCTTTATGGTTCTCTGTTTATTTGTCTCTGAAAAATGATGCAGTCCAAAATAACTTTTTTACGATCCTAATTAAATATGTCATATCGTCTCTCAACCTACTCTACAATATCAATTACTCAGAGTACGTGTAATGCAGTAAGACATGTCACTTTGTACAAAGAATATGGTAGCACTCTAATGTTCATGCTTTTAGTGCAGGAGACTGATAGAACAGTTAGGGTTGCTGCAACCTGATATTCCAATTGGAACCCATCTTTAGCTACAAGTTAGTCACTCTTTTCACTGGGCATATAAATACTACAAGAACGAAGAACCATACACATACCCTTACATTCCATTAAGTCTCTAACCGTGGGATTTTAATACCAAAATGAGTTTCATCTTTGAAAAAACAATATGTTTTAAGCGGGGATTTAGGTCTCAGAAACCCACGGTAATTGTAGGTTAGTATTAGAAACCTACACTAAAGCCCTTCGTACATAAGACAACGTAAACCCTCGGGACTAGTATGGTTGCGTCGTGGATATCGCGTTGCGTGCGGCGGCAAGTTGTCTATTCGGTCAATAGCGAGATAGCGAAATGTCAACTGTATTGATCCGCCATCTTGAAAATCTTAGCAACTTTTCTCACGAAGATATTGACAAACACACTGGTTGCGAGCGACTGTCTTTGGCAATGACAGACAGAAATGTCGGCAATGCGCGGAGGGTACGAAAGTCTATGACATTGTGTTGCGTAAGTCGCTTAGCGGCTGAACTTGCTAGTTTTCGAAGATTTACGATGCTTTACCTACGAAGGGTCTAAGGGTATGCTTAAATACTTGAAGAACTTAGAAATTTTTCATTTCAACTATATTTAAGGGTTGGTATTTACTTTCTCTCTCATTTTTTTCTCAATTTTGTTTCGAGAAAAATATTGGCAGCCCTACTTACACGTGTTGCATCGGCAAGTTACCATTCGTCAGTGAGAGATATATTGCGTCGGGAGGCTAGGGGTCAACTCAAGGTCAATCGTTCCCCTCATCGCTAATTAATTAACTTTGCTCCAAAATAATTACATTTCCGTTACGGAAGCGGAACTAGACCCGCTGTAATGGGCTTGGATGTTACCTGAAATACTGTTGAGTGACAATATAGCACTTAAAAATGTCTAATTAATCTTTTTCTCTTGTATTTTAAAGAAAAAAGTGTGTTAGTTTTAAACTATTCCTATGCCATTTCAAAAATGTTTTATCTAGAAATTATTTGAGAATCTTTGGTGTTAATAGTCAATATATTTGTAATTATAAAAACCATAATGTTGTGCAAATCGACCAAACAAATTATGTTCAAAGAACATAGAGAATAAATTGAATCTGATATTTAATAAAACAATTAAAGTTATAAGAGTAAAAACTTAAACATATAACAACAAATTATCTTCTATGAAACATTATTAGAAAACTTTCACAATAACAATGAGGTTATCCGTCGTCTACAACTTGTCTAGTACACTCTACCGAGTCTAAAGTAGTCTACGATTGTAGATAGAAAAATAAAGATTCAACTTAGAAATTATCAAACGATTAGTTATACGTAACTTTCTTCAGTAATCAGATTGTACTAACTTTTTTTAATGCATAACAAACATCTTTTGTGCCGATTTAATGCCAAATTAGGTTTGACATTGAAATCGTGTTTACTAACTACTTTCCTATAGAGTAGAGTAGAATACACGAACCGTTAGAAACAGTACAATCTTCGAAGCTGAATGCTTAGGAATATCTGAAAGGAAGAGTGAAAGCGAAAACATTCAACCAATACCTGATTTGAAATGACTCGACAAATCTTTTGCGCCCTGATATCACTACTTTAAAAAGTTTTAACAGGGTTCCATGGTGTAACGGTTAGCACTCTGGACTTTGAATCCAGCGATCCGAGTTCAAATCTCGGTGGAACCTTAACAACATTTCTGCAAATACTTTAAGATGCAGTCAAGGAAAAAAATTATGACCACGTTTAATAACACTAATACTAAAAGACTGTTAAATGGACATTCGTT